AGTTTAACCAAAATGATAAATTAACTGTTCATGGAACTGACTGGGCCCCATAGGCAAAGCTGTAGCTGTGAGATTAGCTGACCTAATGGTTTCTGCTCAGGGTTCAGCTTTAGCAATAAAAAAAACTAAATCCAACTGCCTGGCAGACCCAACACATTCCAGGAAAAAACATCCCACAAAAGCATATTCAAATGAAACCTAAAGGGGGTTGGGGCGTAGGCGGGGCAATGTCAATTTCAAACCTAAAGGTGCTGCATCATAATTTGCTTACTGAATAAACCTGAGTCTGGGTAGTAACCTTTTATAACAATTTTTAACACCTTTTAATCCCATAGGGTAACAGCTATAGGGCAACATTGTAAGTGGCTCTGAGGCCAACAGATTAACATAAGACTAGGTATAAAAAGCACGTGCATCAGGTAACCAGCAGGAAGGAGGGAACAGAACGGTCTTTTCTGTTCCACGCCCGGACCCCAGACTCCTGTTGTGAGTGAGGATCAGATCCTAATCAAGGAACCTTCCCCAGTAACCCTCTGACAGCGTCGATCGGGGACGCCTGACTTCACTGGAATCACTTGATGCATAACTGGCATTGAGGGACTATCAATAAGTAGCCAACCCATGTCTGTCTATCTGTTGTTTTGAACAGCCCAGTCGCTAATACCCTTGCAGTGCCCAGTTGGTCTGCGACAGAATTAATCTGTTATTATTATCTGTTATTTACTATTACCTCTTTAATACTGCATTATCTGGTTATCACATTTATCTTTCTGTTAACTGTTGTGTGTGTGTAAGCTATAATAAATTTGCCTTCACTTTACTCCCAGCTTTGCCTCCTCAACCCAAAACTGAATCAAACAGCCCAGTTGGCCTGTGATAAATTAATACACTCACAGTGCCCAGCTGGCCTGTAACAAGGGAGCTCAAGCCCACATCCTGCCCCTGTACAGATCTGGGGGCATGGGTCCCCCTTGCTCCCCAGAAGTGCACGCAGCCACTGGGAGCCAGCCCTGCCCCTGCCCGAGTCAGCAGCAGCAGGAGCAGCAGGGGAGCCAGCTCCTTGCTCCTGCTGCCTTCTGTTCAGGACAGGGAGCTGTGGACCTGGGTCCCTGGTTCCATAACCCTGACAGCTGGGGGCCCCTTCCAGCAGGGCAAGGGGGCAGGGGCTGTGGGTGGAAGTCAAGGGGCATAAGCAGGGCTGGGGGGCTGTTGTGGGAGCAAAGAAGGACACAATCAGGGCCAGGGGAGGCTGTGGGGGGCCTTTAATTTTAATAATGGATTTTGGGGATTTTGTCAGAGAATTTACAGTTTATCATGAAAAGCCAGGATCCCTGATGATAAGCAACTCTGCACAGTCCTGCTGCTGTGAGTCTGGACTGCAAATCCCAGAGTCCCTGCACCCAGTGCACTGAACTTGCAAGGCAAGAGGTAATAAATTCTAATCCTAGCCTAAACCCATGATGGCTGTTAGTCCTTTGCCCTCTTCAGACTCTATTACTAAACCCAGCTTCATATTACCACCTTTGGTGAGTAAAGTGATGTTTATCAGTTGTCCACATCAAGATAACTAAGAACTTGCATGCAGTGCTGGGAACAAAGCCCAAGTCCACCCACTCTGCTCCATGGTCTTTTAAAAGGAATAGAGGTAAATTAAATGCTTTCGTAATCTAGTGAAGCTCTGAGTCTTCCTCTGGCAGTTAGACCACATATGGAAATGACAACTCTGTTACTGTGTGAACACCAAATGGTCTGGTTCCTTTGGCCAAGTGGTGGAAACTCACTTTTACATCCAGTGATCCCTCATTAAGTCCCAGTAATGACTGAAATAGGTGCTTTCTTATCTTTGTTTCTGCCTTCTGTAAACACTATATCATAACATATGCCCAGTACCAGGATGAATAAACAAGTATCCCAATGTCTAAAGTTAAATCTTTTTCCCACCAATACTTATGTAATCTACTGGCAATGTGTATGTTGCATTTCCCCTGCAGGGCCTCCTCCACACAGAGGATAACAAGATGCTTTCCAGCCACTTGTTACAGCTGTAGAGCTGAACTGGAAATGGTTGATACCTGGAGACAAAGGGTGTGGGTTCAAAATCTGTTGATGACCCATAAGAATGAAAAAGAAAGAAAGAAAAAGAAAAACCACAGTAATAGTAGAATAATAACTGAAATAATTCTATACAGAGCAAAACATCACAGTAAGACTGCAATTAGAATGTGCTCTACTCATGTATGTATGTTAAGATTTTATCTATTTCACTTAATAACAGCTGGCATTTTAATAAGGTGTAAGAGCTTTTACCTGTATATCCAGAGTGTAAGAACCTACTTGCATCAGCTCTAAAACCTCAGAACTTGACTAAATAAATGTTGTACTCCCAGAAAGGAAACTCTCATTCTTAAAAAGTCTCTCTTTAACATTTGTGGAAACAGCACTGCCCAGAGACACCCAAAATACAATCTGCACATCAGCCAATATAGATGGCTGATGTGCAGGTGAAGCAATTTAATGCCTGCTGACCTGTGCTTCAAAAATTATTCCCATCTCCAAGTTACTGAGTTAGCTACTCTCTGACAAGGGTTTGAGAAGTCTGACTTCCATGTCCCACATCCAATTCACTGCCGTGTTTTGCACTATACTGCAAGCTCTTTGGGGCAGGTACTCTCTCTTACTCTGCATCTGTGAAGCACCTAACCCAGTGGCGGGCAAAGGCCAGCCCGCAGGCCAGATCCAGCCCACAGTGGACTCTATTTCCCAGAAGCCCCTGCCTGCATTGCTGAAGTGGGTTTCCCTCGAGACCCCAGGAGCAGCAGGGCCATGATAGTAAAAGACCAGGGTTTCCATGGAGACTGGACCCAGAAGTGCTGGCAGGGTGCACGGCAGGGGTGTGCAGGCAGTAGATCATGGCTCTGCCCCAGCTCCAGACCAGGCTTCACCACTGCAACATCCCAACCCCTGCCCCAGAGCAGCTCCCCCTCCAGCCGTGTGCCTTGACAGTGCTGCTGGGACCAGTCTCCATGGAAACACTGGCCCCGCAGTGTCACAGCCCTGCTATTCCTGCGGTCTCCATGGAAACTAGCCGCAGCGACACAGACAGGACCTGCTGGGAAATGGAGTCTGGCCACCAGCTGGATCCACCATTTTGCTCGCCTCTGGCCTAACCTAATAAAGGTCAAAGCCGCTTGGTTCCTCTAGCAGCAGCCCCTGCTGTGGAGACCAAAAGTATCTTAATTTCCAATTGATGAAAGATGGCCCTACTGTAATTGCCATACAAGCGCATTAGAGGCAGACAGAGGAAGCTAAAATAAAATAAGAGACAAGCCAAAAACAGGAGTTTTTAAACTCTTGTTTAAAAAATCTCTCAGGTTTTGAGAGCTAATTATGATTTGGAGGTTGTGATCCATGCTTTTTAAGTTTTGGGGGTTTGGTAATATTGCAAATGCCTTCATTATGATATTTGCTAAACAGCAAAATACTGATAGCTGAGAAAAGAAAGGAAGTAACGTAGTCTGAAGATCTATACCAGCAATTCCCAAAAGGAGAAGGGAAGGAAAGAATAAAAATATGGAAGATTTATGCTATAAAACTGAGATATAAAGGCATTTCAGTACCAGAGGGACACTGCATTGAGCTGTATTTTCCTTAAGAAAATCTCTGCTCTCGAAACATAACAGCACATTTTGCTCTATGCTTAGCCTCTACCAATTGTACAAGGGTTTTTCTACTTGCACAGGTGCACCATCTCTGGTGAAAATTTGAAAAAATTAAAAGCAAAAAAAAAAATGCACAGAGAACTGATCCTGCCTAAGTGCAAAGAATGGAGCAAAGGAATTCTATTCAACATTTCTATGAATTCCAACTGCTGTAGTATAAAGCCACCACTGTATTTTTTGTGAAGTACTGTCTACTGCAATTGCTATCAAGGAGCTCAATCCAGCAAAGCCACAGTAGTTGGATCACTTTTAAGTCTAATCAGTTAATCAGCAAAAACCAGAAACCTTGGTGATATTTACAGTCAGCTCTTCCACTATTATATTTCCCCAGAGAGATTACTGCAAACCATCCTAGCATAAAATGGTATTGATATCCTGTAAACGACGCTAGTTTTCCCAGGGCACGTTAAAAAGTGTGTTCTCCATACACATTTTGAGCAAACAGCTTATCAGAGCTGCATGAAGGCCAGTCAAGTTATAACTGCCTTCCAAAGAGATGTCAGCCTCTCTGAATACGAGACATTCCCTTGACGAATGTGGCAGCACTGTCACGTTTCCCAACATCCAATGGCATCCCCATTACTAAGCAGTTTAGTGAGACAGGAACCCTGTCGGCTTCTCAGAAGGAAGAAAAGGTGATGCCACCCTCCTGCATGTGCAGTGGAAACCATACAAGAAAGCAAAGTCGCAGCCCAGCCCCAGACTTTATCCGTTAAGTCGCTGGCGTCACTGGAACACTACAGATCTGGTCCCCAACATCTGTCTTAGCTGCCACAGCAAAAAAAAACAACCCAAAAACCAACCACCCTCCACTCACTGCCTGAATCTCTCTGCTACACCAACCACACTGGAAACCCAGGATGATGCTCAACACCTGCATGAAGGGGACCCACCACTACCAAAAACAGGGGGTGGGAGAAGAGGAGGAGGGGAGCAGGTTGTTTACGGGGGTGACGGAGCATCCCTGGTCCTGGCGGGCAGCCCCCTCCTCTGCAGCCTGGCAACAAACCTGCATTAACTGGGAGCCTTGAAACACATGCGCGCACACACACGCACCCTTCAACACACCCCCTCCTTCACACACACACACCTTTGATGCCCCCCACCCCCTTTGACACATGCGCATGTATACACACCCTCTGACATACACACGCACACACCCGCCTGCCCTTGGACAAGCCGCAGCCGCCCACAGGTGCCGGGCGCTGCAAGGGGCCGAGGGCGATGGCGGGGCGGGCCGGGGGCTCCGAGCAGCAGCGGCGGCGCCGCCCTCGCCCTCACCTGGAGACGCAGTTCTCGAGCACGGAGCTCTTGCCGGCGCTCTGCCCACCAACCACCGCGATCTGCGGCAGGTCGAGCAGGCAGCTCTGGCCCAGCGCCGCGAAGGCGTCCTGCAGCCGGTTCACCAGTCCGATTAGCCCCTCCATCCCCGCACCGCTACAGCTGCAGCCGCCGCCGCCGCCGCCGCCGCCGCCAGGTAACGGTCTGCGCCG